AATATGTATCATAACTGTTTGGAGCTGAAACCGAATTTGCACAGTCACACAGAGTACTGCCAAAAAGTATTGCCAAACATACATACACTCCTACAATAGGGAGACCAAAGTCGCCTGGCCGTCCTTCACTGCGAACGCCACCTAAAACCTGGACTGGATCGCACTGCAATGTGTCAGTTGGGTCCTACAAAACCTGTATGCACAGTCAAGGCCAGGGCGTCAAACCACAAAATTGATCTCGGCTAGAGCTGCTTGACTCACAGCCAAACCAGCCCCCCTGGGGCCAAGGCTGCCTCTACTAGAACTCACTAACACAGATGTGCCTGCAAGCTGGATACATGATGAAAATGTTCAACTCTTAAACTAATACTGTTGTAGGGGAGAAGGGATAGCAACCCTCCTGTGAGGTAGCAACATGAACGAAAGATGAAGGCCAACCACAAAGACATGGGGCCATCACACGTGTGCAGGTGTCTCTGTACGTGTGTGTGTGTGTGTGTGTGTGTGCGCCTGTATGCACATGTATGTGTGCGTTTCAGTCTGCAGGAGACACCCTTCTGAACTCACAGTTCTTTGTGTTTGTCCTCCGCCAGTATCTGGTCGTTGGGCTTCAGGCCATACCTGTTTAAACAGAAGACACAGCCTCAGTAACTGACATGCTTTGCTTCTTGCCAAAAACCCAGGTGGACTTAACTGTTCAGGGCCCTTCTAAGAAACATGTTCTCTACTTCAAGTTGCAAAATAACTGACATGAGGTCAGAGGAAACATACAAATCGACAAACCATCTCAGGGCACTGAAGACAGAGAGATAAGGCTGAATGGGGACTGAAAAGGTTGACCTGCTTTAGATAGGTTTCATATTTCAGTTACCCAATTAGAGTAAAGGCCTACAGAGGCAGACACACTGCACCTTCAGCAGCTCTTCACACACAGACACTTTGTAAGAAACAAATAAATAGCAATAAATAAGCAGGCAGTATAAGTCCGAATGGAGAAAACGCAGAAATAGCTGGGTCTAGCTTCACCACTGGGAATGTGATTAGGTAAATCCAAGGCCAGCTTCCCTGCCCAAAGAGCAGTGCATGCCTCTGACGGCAGGCTGACCGGAGCTGACCCCGAGTCTCAGGCGGGGGAGAGTCATGCACGGGTCACATGTGGGCTGAACGGGTCTGTGCCCACTTTGTTCTCCACATGGCAGGCATCCTCCCACTGAGAAGCGAACTGGTTTTGCTTTCAGGGATCAAGGCTACAGGCTAAACGGCAAAAGTGCTTGTGTTTCACACCATTAGAAGTGGCCGTTAATCAGGTGCTGCCCAGCAGCCATTACAACACAAGTCATGGTCCAAGTTGCTGGATTCACTACGGCACAAAGGCTGTCATTTCCAGGGGTGAAGATCATCATTTCACAATCTGTGTGTCTCAGGAAGTATATGGGAAACACAGAGAGTGACAGAGAACACATTCAGGTAAGGGCACCACTAAAGACTGCACCCAGCGGTGTAGCCACGCCCAACCACCCTGGCACACGCCCAAATCCCTGAAGCATGCTAGAAGCTGACTCACTTGTCCAAGAAGTCCTTGTCCACCACAGCACAGATGTCCAACAATGGGTTGCCCATGCCGAAGAGTGCATTCTGGCTGCGCGCAGGAGAGAGCAGACGGAGAGTGTACTGTTAAGGTTACGTTTCAACACCCAGGCACATGCCAATGGGGTGCAGAGGGGGCCTGTAGGATTTCATAATGGTCCCACTCTGCTTAACACAGTGGTTCCCAAACTGATATCTAACCATATCATGAAAAACGAGGTTTAAAATTTTCTACATGAAGTGCAGGGAGACTATCAATTAATGGGTATGATTTAGTGGTGTTTTGTGCTATAGTATATATATGAATATAGGCTGAAACCTGCGGTTATCATTAAAAACAAAATGCGGTAATCGTAAAACAAACTTTAATTTGTGTACGCCAATGAATATTAACAGGAACGTTAAATCTGCATTTGTATAATTTCAAACTTATGCTGGACTTTTATTTTTAATTGATTTATTTTTTCTCCAACAGTGGTGAAATTGCACCATTTGTATTTTGTAATTGCATTTGTTTCAATGAATTAGAAAAGGGATTTGTATTTCAAATAAATTTTGAATCTAAACCTGTGTAGTTTGAATGGGGGGGCTCAATAATGTTCCCATCTAGAAAAGGGGGGCCCTGCAGAGAAAGTTTACAAACCACTGGCTTAACACATACAGCAATTATGACATCAGTTTGACATTCGGTGAAACGCACAGACCCAACAGCCCTTTGGGATAATGGGGCAATAGGGTCCCAGATGTCAGCGAAACTCAAACATGCACATCCATTAGGAGAGCCCCCCCACTGAATCTGCAGGATGGAAAGGCCCACCAAAGACTACAGCAAATTCAATCCTCTGAAAAGCAAAGCGCAAAGCAAAACATGCCACATGCAAACATATCCATACTAGGAGTAACAAAGTCCAAAAAGGCTGAACAAACCACTACTGCAATTTACTTCAAACTAATGTTTTTGAACATGAACAAATCCACAGACAGAGCATATACTTTAAAGCACTCTTAATTGTGCTGTAATTATGTACCATACATTTTTTTCCAGTGTTGCTGGCTTTGTCTGCTTTGTGTTTTATCCTTGGTAACAAACCAAACACAGTGCACTGATCACACAATGCACTGACCCCCAAGTTGTACTGTTTGAGCCAAATTACCACCTTACCTACCTCAACTTACCAACAGCTAAAAATACAAGAAAAAATTATCTGTCATCATCGCTGCAGCCCATTCAGACCGTGGCAGAACGGTGCATCCCAGCTACATGGTGAACACGCTTTGAATGTGTGATTAAACAGCCTTTCCACGGCTGGCGTGCAAAATGGAAAATGAAATCTTCCAAGTGTCCACAAAACTACGCCTGTCCCTGTTGTCGCTAACGGTCCTTTACTTACCCTGATGAAGGCATTCCTCTGGTCTGCGCAATTCAGCGAATGTCAGCCAGCGTCTTGCCTCTCCGTATCAACCTCACTTAAATCAGAGTCCCCCTATCGCCTCGTGTTTTCCATCCGCACGCCCCTCCCACAACGCCGACTCGTTATTTCTCTCCGGTCGGCCGTACTACAGTTATTCGGACTGTCTCCTAATTATAACAGTCATCTAGGCCCAGTACCGAGACATACCTATCTAAAAATACCGGAAAAGCAAGATTCGGTGTCTTCCAAGTCCATCTCCGACACCGAAGATGAGATTTACACACTAGGGAGGTGTGACCACATGTTACACACTAGCCTGACTATAGGCGGTGTAGGAATGTGACAATGCTTCGTCAGTCCTGGAACAAATCGTGAGGTTGGCCACGCTACAGGGGATCACGTTCACGATATCTGTCACTGGTCTGTATACTGCAAACCGGGCTACATTTCAAACGGACCGTTAATCTTCAAAGAGGAGCCAGCTCGCCGACCGGTCACCTAAACTTAATCGGACTTTGAGCTCTTCGTTGCAAGTTTGTTTGAGATTACGTGTAGTTCTCCCTAGGCACCTGAAACGTTCAAAAGTCTCGTGTTCAGGGTGACTTCTATTTGCCTATTTTCTTTCTAGGGCTGGATGCGAAGAACTCTATTCCCCTTGGATCAATATAGTTTATCTAATCTACATGTATTTTCAGACAGTCCAAGTGCAGTGACATGGGCGACCAAAACAAATAAGGCGATAATCACACCAAAGCAAGGTTTAACTTTAAGTGAAATAACTGCCTTCGGAGATGCGTAAAGAATAAGAAATAAACCACTGCAGTGCAATGTGATTCCTTTACCTACTGCATGTATCGGGCGAAATAACCTTTGAGCTATCGGAACAAGGAAAAATATATATCGGTTACTCCCAAAAAGAGACGTGCCGATCCCAGAGGTCTCTTTTACCTGAGCTCTTTTTTCTCTAATTTCAGCTTTTTCGCCTTGGGTTCACCCTCCGCCATGCCGCACACAAGCTCCAGGCACCTTGAGAGACGAGAGACGAGCCGGGGAGGGGGGAAGTGTCACTACCCGATCTATAGCTCCCGCCTGATGTGCAGTGCGCCTGCGTATCACATTGCCCCTTACAGGCTGTCTGCATCTCCTAAACGGCCACGATATTATTATTATTATAAATAATAATAATAATAACACTAATAATAATAATGATAATAGTAATTATAATAATAACACAAGACTGTATCACGAAGCGAGATTCGCTAGTTAACTAGATAACTTGTCGGATTTAAGGTACCCCGGTTTAGACGCGCTTTATCTTCGTTCCTTTACAGATAGGCCAGACTACCTTAATCCGAAAAGGTATTCATCTTAGCAAGAAATCCAGCTTCGTGATACTTGGGCCTGATCAACAAATGTTTTGCTTTATTTTTGTCCAATAAATAGGTGAATTTTACAGTATTTATTCAAATAAGAATTTAGAGTGACACCCAAACTTCGCGCAATATGTATATTTACAGTATAAGTGCATTGTGGAAGTGATTAAGGTACTTGGCCTCAAACTGGGACTTGACATGTTTTGATATCGTTTTTCCATATCAGGGGGAATGCAGGATCGTATCTTGACATATCCGTTCTATAGCCTGTAAATTCTGGCAAAACAGACGTACTGTACTTTGCACCCTTATATAGAGTCTTACGATTATTCACAAATAGAGGTTAAATCATTTCCATAAATTAAACTTTAATACACCCATACATTCTTAATAAGGAATTATACTATCAATATAGCCTAAAATGACGGCATTCAAAAAATACGAGTGGCAGTAAAATTTTGAGTCCATTTTTACATTAAAAAATGTACATAAAAGACACCCCTTAGCTATTCTATGACAAAATTTTTGCTGACGATTTTAGTAATAAGACTTCACTTTTTTTCCTGCGCGTTTTCAGGCAGGCAGAAGTTCGCCATCCCTGCCGGGGTCCTGACGGCGGTTACTGTCGCTGTGACTATGCGGCTGCGCTTTGTGTCTCCTTTCGCCCTCTAGCTGAATAGGCTGACGGAAAGTCGTTGTAACTGGTAAGCGGGGTGCGCCGTCTACATTTTTGTTTTACCATATAATAAACATTCTGTGCTGTAAGCACTGTGTTATTGCCTGGTTACTTTTCTTATGTAATTAAACGGAGTTGCAGACGTAAGCTTATTTAGAATAAGCCTTGTAGGTTTCTGATCAGGGTAGTTCTTGTGCACAATGGAGACACACTTAGACTGCTGGTAATGTCAGAGCCGCTTAAGATAACCGGAATCCGCCGCTCACCCGAAGTTCTGCTTGCATACCTTGACAATCAGAATAGCTTCACACCCTCTGTGTTAGCGTGCCGTTTTAGTAACCCTATCAAGGTGACGTCTACTATAGAGGTATTCTCAACGTAGTCACTCCCTGTAGCTGGCGTGATTCCGCATCTCCGCAGCGCAGATTGGGTACCTGGGAACTGGCCGAAGGTGAACATGGCTCCCACATGTAGGACGCGCATCGCATGTAGCAACGCAGGACGCTTGCGGGCGGTGTGCAGGGAGCTGTCCGGCGACCCGTACGTGGGAACTGGAGCACGCCGAGGATGCCGGAACTGCACCTGACTGGCTTTGTGGTTTAAAATCCCAGGTTGCTAGCTGCCCTCAATGTTACGACACAACAGGGCAAAGACTCTTTACAGTAATATTTCACGGAGAAATACCGTTTGACAAAGTGATGGTTGTTTAGAGCCAGGCAAATGGCATCTGTGTCTGCCCCAGACAGGCTCTCGGGAGCTCGTCCTTACATATTTTTCATGCTGTAAAAGCAGCATGTCAGGATTGCTAAACTAAGTCCCTCAGCCACAGCCAAGACTCTTTGCAGCTGTGATTATTTTCCACTGTGTTCCTTTCTTGTTATAGGTAGCATGGCTGTTCCTCCATCATATGGTGATCTCGGCAAATCTGCCAAGGACATCTTCAACAAAGGATATGGTACTGTCTCTTGACTTGGTATTTGCCAAGGTCTAACAGAAAAGCATTACCTGGCAATTCCAAACCGGGCACAAAATGGTTGGAATACAGAAAAATTATTTAATGATTGTTATCCATTTTGAGTACTGTATTATGGGATATTTGGCTGGGTATATGCTCAGTTCTCACTGCTGGTTTATTAGTATAAAACAAAATGGTAGTTAACTATTTGTGGCACATACCATAGCACTCTGTTAGCCTAGCCTTAATTGAAAAGCAGGCTGTGTTGAGCCACTTAGGTATAGTAATGAGTCAGGAATCGGGCATGATTTCAGAAAGACACTCTGTCAAGTACTGGTCCCTTAGAAGCTGACATCATCTCTTCAGGTCTCTTCAGTTAGTGAACATATGACAGCTGAAGACTTTATACATACAGCTTATAACCATGTAACATTCTCCTTCCTCACAGGCTTTGGTGTGGTGAAGCTTGATGTGAAGACCAAGTCAGCCAGTGGGGTGGTATGTTTATGCAAAATTCTTTTATTATTGATGTTATTTAATAATCACTTATTATTTGACATTCAGCAAATCTTCCCGATTTTTTTACTTGAAGTTATTTCCAGTTTATAAGATGTATAAGATTGCCTTTCTGCACATAGAGAGATGTTAATGATGTTAATGTTGATCCCAGAGCTTTGACAGAATCATTGAAGTACTGAAATGTGAACTTCTTGTTGCTGTGATGTTTGCTTAAAAAGGAGTTCAAAACCTCAGGTTCATCCAACACTGACACTAATAAAGTGGTTGGGAGTCTAGAAACCAAGTACAAGCGTTCGGAGTATGGCCTGACATTTACAGAGAAGTGGACCACTGACAACACATTGGGAACTGAGATCACCATAGAAGACCAGGTGGGTAAAGCACATGCTTTGTACATATAGGCAACCTTGCTGGCCTTTGGAATTAAATTGTGGATTAATTACTGCTTTTTCATTTCTGCAGATTGCCAAAGGGCTGAAGCTAACTTTCGACACTACTTTTTCTCCCAATTCTGGGTATTTATTTAATTTTCTATTCTTTTACATGTCCAATGAAATAATGGGGAGATTTTGCAGCATACCAGTTAAGGGTTAAAAGATTATAAAGATCAAGAGGAAATACTTTTGGTTGAGTGTTCACCATGACATTCTGAGGCAGGACATTCTTGAAGATGGTGGCAGTTATTTCACCATAACAGACTATTAGTAAGAGAGATCTTTTTTTGAAATAACATGACATCTACACCCCCCTTACCAGAAAGAAGAGTGGAAAAGTCAAAACAGCCTACAAGCGTGAATATGTCAACCTTGGCTGTGATGTGGACTTTGACTTTGCCGGGCCCACCATCCATGGGACCGCTGTGCTTGGCTATGACGGATGGCTGGCTGGGTATCAGATGACCGTTGACAGTGCAAAGTCCAAACTGACCCAGAATAACTTTGCAGTGGGCTACAGGACTGGGGACTTCCAGCTTCATACCAACATGTGAGTCTGGGCCTGAAGCCCACTGTTGTTAGTTGGGGTTGGGGGGTGGGGTGTGGCTTTGTGGTTGGGTGTAGTTTTAGGACTAAGTGTTGCTTTGTGACTTTGAGTGTGGCATTAGTGTTGGGTTTAACCTAAAGCCGTACTCCTTTGTTGCTGCAGTAATGATGGATCTGAGTTTGGTGGGTCCATCTACCAGAAAGTGAATGACAAGTTAGAGACTGCAGTAAACCTGGCCTGGGCCGCTGGCAGCAACAGCACCCGCTTTGGTGTTGCTGCCAAGTACCAGCTGGACCCCAGTGCCTCTATCAGTGTGAGTGGCCGTGTCACAGCGCCCCCTAGCTGCTTTCATCCCTGTCTTATTGTATTTATTTGATATGCCCCATCTGTTCTGATGGCCCGCTTGTATTTCTTCAGGCTAAAGTGAACAACGCCAGCCTGATTGGAGTTGGCTACACGCAGACACTGAGGCCAGGTACTAAGGGGATGTGCACACTCCCCACTGCTCTCACCCCCCCCAAGCTGCTGTGGCTATCCTTGGCCACCGATTAGGGGTTATTTGACACACATGAAATGTAACAGTGGTTATTTTTTCTAATGAACATCCAGGGTGTGTTTTGTTGTGTGTTTTATGCATAAAATGTACAGCTACATGTTCATTAATTGTCCGTGCTTGTATTTCTTGAGACTCATGCCGGAATTCCTGTCGTAGGTGTCAAGCTCACATTGTCTGCCCTGGTTGACGGCAAGAGCATCAACACTGGTGGCCACAAGCTAGGCCTGGGATTGGAGCTGGAGGCCTAAGGGTGACCTCTGACCTCTCACCTAGGCTCTCTGGAAGAATGTTATAAGAATCTGGTGTTTCCCATGTAACCAGCATAGGTTTTCTGAAAGGGATGTGTTCAAACTGTAAGTGGAATCTGTACCTTTCACCAGTAATTATTCTGTTGTCTGTAATTATAATATTAACATATGCTACAATGCACATGCCCCATCTCTCTATTGGCCTCTTCCCTCAATAGTGGACACACTCAAGCTCTGTTGACCCTTTCCCTTGGTGGTGGACATGCCTCATGTGTTGGCTCCTCCCCTTGGTTGTGAGCACACCCCATCTCTCTGTTTTAAGGTCTTATATCGCTGGTGCGTTTTGGACCTTGCAAAGTTGTTGCCATTTGTTCTTGTCTGATTCTACTATACTGTGTGCCATTGCACCGGTGTCTGGATGCAGGACATATGTGTACATCATACATTTCTCTGGCTAGGAAATCGTCATTGCCCAATGCTTTATTTATATTTACAGATAGGAATGGTGCTTGCTGCTCTTTTGTGTGTGTGTTTTATTATTCTTTTAGCCAGGGTTTATCAGAATGGAAAATGCTTATGGTTTGTGAGTTAAATGTGCTTTGGTTAGTAGAAGTTATTTATGTACCCAGTTGGAACTGGAGCATGGAGACATGCAGATTAGATGTGAGTGTATGGCTATTGGAACCTCACAGCGGCTCCTTGCTCGGCTCAGCCCATCCCAGCACATGTGAGTGGCTCAGACTGTGGTGCGTTTTGGGAAACCCCAGTCGTCTCCTCCCTCTGGAAGTTTTCAATAAATCCTTTGACCTCAACAGAGCATAGTGTTGCTGACTTTTTTTTTTTGGTGACAGACAATCTAAAGATGACCACTTTTAAGGTGACCTAGACTCCACCCATTTTCCTGCAACTAAGAACCTGTCAACTCAATACAACTGATAGGTATTAATTTGGAATATTTGATATGAACATTTCATTCATATGTTTTTTTTATGTATTTCTTTCATATGTTTCCATGTAAGTGATAAGATGCTGCCTACAGCACTGTATGATTAACGTATATGGACACCCCTATTACTTAGAGGACTAGTTTAATTAAGCCACACACATTGATGATACAGGTTTATAATTAAGCACACAGTCATGTAATCTCCTGTAATAAATATTAGCGACAGAATTGGTTGTATACAAAAAGTTAGTGACTTTCCAAAAAAGTCAGTTTACCACAGTTCTCCTCTGCTGCCACTGCCCTGGTGAACCTCAAGTGAGGTGATTGTGAAGGTCAAAATGGGAACAAGTTCAGACGTAAAGAGTTTGGCCACATAAACTCACAGAAAGGGACCTAATAACTCACCAGCAATGTTCCAGCATCTAATGGAAAGCCTTTCCAGAAGAGTAGAGGGTAATACTCTTGGTTTTTGAACAATATGTTGGACCACCTGGTGTCTCATACTTCTGGCCATATAATGTACATCTCGCTAATGCAGACTTTGGATAAACTTCAGCTGGACCCTGAGAGGGATCCTTTTCCAACTGAATGTTTCACGGGCCACATGCATGTTGGACTCTACTGAGAAGCAAGCAGTCCTGGTGCCAGGTTGGTGTGCTCAGGTGGCACTACTGGGTTTTTAATTCCGGGAGATGATTTTATTTTGTGTCCTTCTAATGGGGTAATCCTCTCTTAATTTTACAATGCTGTTAGTTAGCCTCAAAGTAATAACTTTCACACATATTTATTGCCTGTAGCTTCCCAAATCCTATCTGCAAACATTAGATTAGTTCACAGAATACTAATGATTCAGCTTATGCTTAGCTTATCTGTAGCACTGGTACACTTCAATTTTCCTTAAAGAAAATTAAATCAAAATTATGATTTAGGCTATAATGTCTAGATCCATTTTGACTTTGTATATATCCTGTGTGATGTTTTACACCATTATTTATGCGTAGTTCAGTCATTAAAATCAGCTTCACAGGAGGGCAGCCAGTGTTGTAATTCATATTCTTTGTATGCCCAAATACTGATTGTGACACTGTCCTTCCGAAGTGATCAATGCCGTCCTCTAAAGATGTTTTATGTAGTGTATGATTTTCCTATTACAGGTGGCTGTTGGTTAGGGATCTGTGTCCATCTTTGAAAGGTCATCGGTTTAGTTTCTGGGAATGGCAGACTAATTGTATCATTGGGCCCTTAGGCATGGCTCTTAATGCTAATTGCTCCAGGGATGCTGGCTGACTCTGATAGGCTGCCCATTGCTGTGTATGTCAGTGTGTACGGAGCCAGGAGGCACCCAGCATTGTATCTCACTAAAAGGTCCTGCTAAGGTCAGTGACTGACTCAGGTGAAAAAGAGCTTTAAAGTGTGGTTGTTCTAGCCTTGAAATTTGTTGACTTGAGGCATTATGGTTTTGAAAAACATCCTCGTTTAAACTATTCTTACCGTTCAGAAATTATGTTGTGTTTCACAGGATCTGCCCATTTGTTTTATTCAAAGTATAATCCCTCTGTATCAAGTTATTTGGTGTTGAATCTCACAAAAGCAGCCACCATCGACGTGTTGAACCTTGAGCTAACACTTGAAAATATAATTAAATAGATATAAATTCCAGGGTTAACAGAGTTTCTAAAGTGTTATGAAAGTACTACATATTAATGTGAGTAAACAATTATGTTTTGAGGAATCGTATAAAATTCATTTAACAAAATCATCTGTTTATGTGGAAAGCCGAGAGCCATAATTTTTAGTCACTGTTCATTAAAAAGGCGCCAATCAATATAAAGTCAATCGGTCATTGTATTAATAGTAAATAATGTGAGGGAAAAGTCACACTCCAAAGTTCATTGTCCTGTATAAATGTCAAGAACAGACAAGCTAATCTATTGGCATGCATTGTGACTTTTTTTTCAGTTTTAGCTACAGGCAGAGCAGTCGCAATACCCCAATTACAATCTTTCTGAATTCCTAACACACTAAACCTGATACTCTGAAACTGTCAAAACTTGGCTATTTGGCTGTTTGGGCAAAACCTTAAACAATGTTTACACAGTCAGAAACAATTTGAAGATCTCATTCACTCTTTGTGCAAAATTCTAAACACGTCATTAGTCACATTTCTCTTCACATCTGCGGTCATGATGCACTGTGACGCAACATAGAAAATACAGGACACAAGTTAAATAGAATAAAAGGTGACGGAGAGCATACCTGTACAGTAGCTGCCATGCAGCACTATGTAGCTGAAAGGGTCCTTGGGAACGTGAAGGAGCCTCATCTGACTCCTCCTGTCTGCAACACCTACAGGGGTTGGACAATGAAACTGAAATACCTGGTTTTAGACCACAATAATTGATTAAGGTGTAGGGCCTCCTTTTGTAGTCAAAACAGCATCAATTCATCTTGGGCATGAAAGATACAGGTCCCACACAGTGGCCAGAGGAATTTTGAGCTATTCCTCTTGCAGAATAGTGGCCAGACCATTATGTGTTGCTAGTGGAGGAAAATGTTTCCTGACTCGCTCCTCCAAAACAGCTCAATAAAATTCTGATGTAGTGACTGTGTAGACCATGGGAGATGTTCAACTTCACATTCATGTTCAAACCACTCTGCCACCAGTCTTGCTGTGTACTGGTGCATTATCATAATGACACACAGCACCCCCTTATGGTACAATGTATGAACCATTGATTGAACATGATTCTGCAGAATGGTTTGGTAGCCATTGGCAGTGACACACCCATCTAGAACAAGTAGTGGGCCTTGACAGCTTCCTCTTGCATCCACAGTTAATCCTGTTGGATATGGTCCGTGCTTTGTGTGGTATGCCGACATTACCCTGGATACCATGGCTCTCAATATACCACAAAAACTTTTATGTACATTTTATGTATATTTTATGTACAGCTGTGTTATTGCTGTACTAATTCAATCTTCACACTCTGCTCTTACTAATGGAATGTGCAATCAGTGAAGATTGGCAACCAGGCCAGCCTCAAACACTATTGGCCAGGTGTTTCAGTTTAATTGTCCAACCCCTGTTCGTACTTCTCCTACTGTGGAGGGACAGACATCACCTTGTTAACGATGATGTGAATCCCTTGGATGTGTGGCAGAGAGTGGGGTTCTGCCAAAGTATGCATTTTGTTCTTTGCCCTTGCCTTCCTCTCCGAGCTTGGGCCTCCAAACAATTTCTTGGTATTACTCAACTTCTCATAGCTGAAGCAAAGCTTAAAGGAGCTGAGACTTAGTCAGTGTAAATAATAAAAAATAAAAGGTTCGGCTGTGCCAGTATTTGTAAAAGTATATTAAGATACATATTGGTAACATGGAGCCTTTTAATATATTATTGTATAAATGCAACTGACTTCTAAAGTACAGAGGGTCTTTTCAATTCGATAAATAAATATAATTTAAAAGTTTATTTAAATTATAATTTGAATCAATTATTTAAATAATAATTTAAATTGTTGTTAAAATTATTGTTTAAATGACCGTTTAAATGATAACCGCTACCGTTAAATGTTACAGATTCAGGCCATGGTGCACAATCCTCCCACACCCGAGTTTGAGCTTCAGCAACTGCCAAAGCTGCTTTCTGCTTGGTCTGCTGGTACCTGTCAGATGCTTTAGGAGTCTCACAGGCTCACCTAGCTAAGGAGGCCTCCTTCTTCAGCCTGACAAAAATGGTCATCAAACAGTGGCCTAGGGTGTCCTGGTGCCAGGTTCACTTATGAACACCTGTGATTAGTACAAAAGTCCAATAACTGTACACCACTCGGATTCTGATCAGGCAGGCCATTCCTCCCAATCGCACCCTTCCAGGTTTCACTGGCATTACCCACGAGCAAGCACTCCATCCAAGGTCTCCAGGAAGGCCAGGTGCTCCAAACTGCTGTTTGGCAGGTACACACAGACAACAGTCACAACCCGCCACCATCTCGAAGTTGAAGGGAGATGACACTCTCATTCACCGGGTTGAACTCCAACATACTGGCACCAAACCAGCCCCACACCTGCCCAGCACCACTCACCATGGGCACCTCCAGAGTGGAATAGCCCCTCTCTACCAGTTCAGGCTCCTTTCCCACCATGTACCAAGAGCCAGTTTTGGTGGCCGATGATCGTTCTGTCACCCCATCTACATATTTATTTATGAATATTGTCACAAATCACCCTCCATAGTAAAACAGCAATTTCTGTGTCTGATGCATGCACAGAAACAGCTGCAGGTATTTACAGGCCTCTCACCTGAAGACATCAGGCAGAATTTGCAGTTGAATACAAAGTGGAATTCTTCATTTTGGCCAGTAGATGACAGCATAGTATAGGACATTTGTTTTTGTTTTTTTGTTTTTTTTAAAAAACACCTTTTCTGCTGCTGATGTGTCAGGGTTTTTTTGTCTTTGTAGATTTAATGACTGTTTTATTACCCAGGCATACTTAAAGTATCAGTTTAACATCTGTAAATTTAAACCATAAACTGCAAATAATACACCAAAACTACATGTACTATGGGAGAAAAAACTTACCAACATTTGAGGATCATTTACATTTAGTTATTTAGCAAACGCTTTTGTCAAAAACAATGTTCAAGTGAGGTGGATAGTATACCATAAGCATGTTTGGTCGTGCAGTGTGCAACATGTATGAACAGGAAGCCTTGTGGTTAATCATTGGTGTTTTTTTGTGTCTATATGGGGAAATTCCTTGGCAGACTCTTGTGTTTTCACCTTATTACTCCATTTCTGCTGTGCTGATCCAGTTCCATCTTAAACAGATGGTGAGCCTTCTGCATTGACATGGCCCTACACAGCCCGGTAGTTTATCAACCTCTTTTCGTGTACAGCTCTGGGAAAAAATTGAGACCACAGGATACTTTTTGTTTCACTCATTTCTCAATTTATGGGTGTGCATCTGTGACTAATATATTTTTTTGCAAACTGAAGCCTGGTTCTTTCCTGTTTCTCATTAACAAAGTGTCATGGATCCGGATGGCACGGGAACGGGAACGAGGCATGGTACACAAAGAAGGGGCGGACGACCCACTTGCGGCTCCAGCAAACAAAACGGGGTTTATTAAATAAAACAGAAAACACTACAAACACAAAACCAAAAGGACCACGGGGGGTCAAACACTAAAGGGAATAAACTACGACTAAGTATTATCAAACAAAAACCAGGAAGGAAAACAGGACACAGATCTAACCAAAACTAAATAAGCCAAGCAACAACCACACATAGACACCGGAACACAATATAGACAAGACGCGACGCGATGAACCAGCGGGGAACAGAACAAAGGCAGGAACTAATATACTACAAGGGGTAATGACTAACACAGGGCAGGTGAGACTGATTAACCAGGACTAGGGAAACAAGACAGGTGAAACCAATTAACTCAAAGAAACTAACAATCAGGGAAACTAAGAACTAACCAAGAATGCATATATCAACACTAGGGGAGTACATAGGAATAACACAGGCAGGGGAACAAGAAACAAAACCAAAACAGATTACTAAATCAGACACCAGGGTTTAACAAGCACAAAGGAAAAAACCAGGGAGCTAAATACAAAGACAGAGGAGGTGGGATTCGAACACAAGACAAGAGGGAACTCAGGACCGAGGGGCAAACAGACAGCACATGCTAAATACATTGAGCCACGAGACCAGACAGGAGACAGGGGAGAACAAGGACTGACGTGAAGGATGGAATGACCAGCACCACCTGCTGGTCAAACGGGGAAGGGGCACGAAAGGACCACAGCGGGAGGCTGACCCTGACACAAAGGGCTTCTTCCTTGCTTTGTGGGACTTCAGTCCTGCTTCTAGGAGTCTAATACAAACTGTCCTAGCAGTGCACTTCACACCTGCACTTAATGTTCCTTTTTATTTAATGGACATTTGATGTTATCCTCTGATTCATGAGAAACTGTCTGATAAGTTGACGGTCATCGCTGCCATTAGAAAGTCGCTTCCACCCTCTACCTGGCTGGTATTTGGTTATTTCCAGTATCTCCTGTTTCACCTTGTTCACGTGTACTGCTGTCTTTGAAATTTTGAGCCTGGAAGCATCCTGCCATGTAGCCTCCTGCCAGCAGAACCAGAATTAAACCAAGATTTAAAAATGCACATTAAAAGAAAAATGGAGTGATCTCTTAATTTTTTTCCAGGGGCATGTTCCATGAAGCAGGATTTCTCAGTTAGTTGCGTTAATTTAAGATTGAAGTCAGGATTGTCCAATAGGAATGCTCCTTAGCTAAACTCTTATTGGATAATCATGACTTCAAGCTTAAATTAACCCAGCTAACTGATAAATCCTGCTTCATGGAACACCTCCCAGAGCTGTATGTTAAGCTGTTTAGCCTGTTTTTAGGTTTTTGCTGCAGCTCCCTAATTAGATTACTAATTAGAGGACTGATTGGCTAAAGAGTCCTCACACCTGGGTTTGAACTCCTGACCTAAATGTTATCCCAAAAATCTGCATATACACTGGCCCTTTGAGGTTGGCTACCCCTAACATAGAGTCACTTAATGTCTTGATGGGTAAACACCCACCTAAAGGTTGTATATTACATGATAGCTTTGATGCATTAACTCTCAAACAATTAACATGTGTCCGCACATAAGATGAATGTTTACAGATGGGAATGACCTTGTTGATCTAGACCCAAAAAGTACCCTCTAACCCAGGGGTCGGCAACCTTTTTGACATGGAGTGTCAATTATATATTTTCTTGTTAGTCCGTGTGCCATGTTAACGACGGGGGGGCGGGGCTACCATCGAGTAGTCAAACCAAAGCAGCAGGCGCGCCAAGCAACAGCCAATGACATTTCAACATCATAGAAGACGTCTGAAAATTTTTTATGTGTCTAATAATTGGGGTTGTGATCTAGAGACCTGCGCTTTTATTTGAGTTTAATTAAATGGAATGATGAACATGGACATGAACGAGGAGCTTTTCAGAACATAGAAATACACTCAGAACAGTTAGAAATAGGCTAATAATATTGCAATGAAACAAAATAATAATAAACGTTGATTTCTCAAGTGGTCAAACAGAAAAGAAACAAAAAAAAATTTGGCCTAATACTGCTTCAGAGCGTTAGCCTTTAATTTAGTCGTTCTTGTTGCTTTTGTGCAGTAGATAAATAATAGAGTACTTGTTTTTAATAAATTAATTTTAAGATAATTCCATTTTGCGGTAGTCCCGCGATTAATTCTATTCTCCCGCAACCCGCACATACATGAGGACCTTACCGCCCGCACCCGCATTCACCCATCAAATCTTGTCCCGCGCCGCACTCGGTGCGTTGGGTCCCGCGGGTCCCGCGGTACTCCCACGGGAGTGCAGGTCTCTATTGTGATCATCGTCAGCGTGTCACCCGAAATTCCTCCGCGTGCCAGTTGTGGCACGCGTGCCTAGGGTTGCCGACCCCTGATATAAAGCATTGACAATCAATACACAAATGAAAAATCACACATACAAAAGCAATAAACATTAAATAAATGACAATCCCATGCTCTGAGGAGAGAGTAGACACACGTGCTCCACCTTCAAGTCTCGCTATAATTTCAATTTTAAGTTCTACGGTTACTCTCACTACTTTCCACTTCAGTTTACTGCTATCACTGCTTACTTTCTTAGAGGCCAGGATTACTGTATCACAAAAAAAAAGTACAAATGAAGCGCTAGATAAAGCACAAAAAATTCATACCGAACACAGGAGGATGTGGGACAGGACTCTCGAACGTGGCTGGGGCATTACACAGGCCGAAATGGAGAAAGCAGTCTTGGGGTGAGCTTCTGGGGCCAGTTCAACCTGCCAGTAGTCAGTCCAGAGGTCCAGGGTGCTAAACCATGTTGACTCAGCGATGTAGTTCAGTGCATCATCATTGATTCGTGGCAGTGAGTGGGAGTCTTCAACCATCAGTAATCGACGCTGAACTTCTATGTTCCATCCTTTTTGGCAACAAGGACTGCTGAAACCACCCATGGGCTGTTGGACGGCTCAATGACTCCTGCCGCTGCCATCTCTCTGATCCTCTGCTCCGCCTCCTTCCGCTTCGCCTGGGGCAGTCTGTGCGAATGCAGGCGACTGGGTAGGGCATCCCCCATTTCGATGTGGTGCTGCACCAGGGAAGTGGGTCATCAATCCTTGTCCCTGTCGGCAAAGATGTCCTGGAATGAGTCCAATAAAGTCTGGAGCTCTTTCCGCTGTTCCGCCGTCAGGTCCTGGCCGCTAAACTGCCACACTTCCTGTACAGCTTGCACCGTCTCGGGAGATGCCCCCGCCGCAATGTCGCTGTGTTCCGCGATCGAGGCAGGCCTTGGGGCTGTGTTGGTGATGTTCTTTCCCCTGGTGCTATGAGCTGCCCCCTCCCCACAGCGAGTGGTTTTCCTCACTCTCTCTCGCCGGCAGCTGCTGTTGTGCTGGAGGACCACCACTTCTGTGCTGAAGTGGAGGGCTGCCCCCGTCACGTCGATGGGGGCCTCCAGTCGAGTGAGCAAGTCCAGCCCACTGATGCAGGGGTCGGTGATGTCGGCGAGCCAGACGTCCTGCAATATGGTGTGTTCGGCCAGCTAGACACGCAGCTGCCTCTTCCTCCTCATGGCCATGCACATGCCAGACACCAATGTCAACTGTACATCGGTTGTTTACCAGCCGGTTGGCGCGGCTTCGCTGGTACCCAGGCAGATCAAAGTGATGGTGCATCCCGTATCCACCAGCGCTCGGCAGGGTGTTTCAGCTACCAGCTAGTTGATGTACAGACCAGTAGCCTCGCCAAGCCTTTCTAGGTGCAGCTGTTGGCTGGCGTGCGTTGCGTGTGGTGCCGGGGCTGGGCATTGGTGAGTAAAGTGCCCAAGCTCTCTGCAGCGGTAGCACTGGTGGGCGGTGTCTCCACCGTGACTCGCACACAATGTTCCTCCTCGCTATCTGGGTCCTCGGGCGCGCAAGGTGCAACTCCTGCACAGTGGGGCTGGTGGCCAGCTTGATATTGGCAATGGCGAAAGGATTTCCGCAGCCCTCTCTGCCTCCACTAGGGCTACAGTGAGCGAGGCCGGCGCCCGCAATTGGATGTGCTGGCACAGCTGCCCTGGTGTTAGTGCCTGAATAAAGGCTTGCCACGCCAGCTCTACCTGCACGGCACCGGGGAAGCCCCTCCATACAAGGATGTGGAGATCCGTGGCAAATGCCCCCAGGGTCTCTCCATCACGCCTTCACTGGTTTGCCAGCTCGGTTCTCTCTGCTCCCACGGATGCAGCGCATCCTTGAAGGCGGCAAGATTTTGCTGCTCACCGGGGGCCAGGCTGAGGAGAGCCTGGAGCACATCCCCCTTCGGCACCAATGCTAGGTGCACCGCCATCTCCTCCTTGATCCAGCCATTGTGCTAGGCAGCTAGATGTACTTGGACCAGGTAAGTGTCCAGGGGCGTCTTCCCTCCATAGTGCGGGAGCTTCACCGCAGACTTTGTCCCTCTCTCTCGTGCCAGTGTGCTTGCTTCTGCTCGCTCTGCCGGAAGGCGGAGTGGGCGGAGTGCGCTGGCACCATCAGGTCTTCCCAGGAAGTTACGCTGCTTGGTGCCTGGGGTATTCATGTTCTCTTCAGGCGCTCCCCACGATGGCCGCTGGAATCCTTGCTCAATGTATTGGAGATCGTCATATGACAATTCCAATCCCACTTCTGACACCATTGTCATCAGTCCAACATGCAGCGCTGCCCGCAGGTAAAATTAGTGTTGTGATGGAGAACCTGAAGCTCCAGAACCTGCTTTGAAAACTACAAAGGAGTGTCGCCCAAATCGTGATTTGATGCTTGTTTTGGGGGTGCTAAAGTCGTGATCAAATGACGTGTGTAAGTTCTTTTTGTACAGACGCTCATGACTGTTAGTAATAATTCAGAAGCAGCTAAAACTGGTTCAAACTAGTATGTGGCATTCCCACACACAAGATATTGTAACTGATAGTAATGGAATAATCTAGGGAAAGGATTTGTTCTTACATTTGGGAACATTTCGCTGTGCAATCTCCAAATATGGTATATCATAAAAATAGCATCATAATTCTAAAGTACTTATTCCTCGCAATAATACATGAATATTATTTTGTCATGTAAGGTCCAGTGCCTGATTTTCTCTCAGCAAACAATAACGCCTCATCAATGCATAGACATGAAAGAAAAAGCCCAGGTGGAAGGACATAAGGCATCAGCTGTAAGCCTGACAGCAGACATGTGGACTTCATTTCATATGGATGCATATCTTGCAGTAACCTTACATCACAGAGTGCCATGAACTGGCTACAGTGCTGCAAGGCATGAGAAAACTCCCATAAGTTCACAATTCTGCAGCACTACAAATACCCAAGCAGCAGTGAAAAGGCTTACAGCAGAATGTACAACAGTTATAAGATCAACGACAGCTGTAGAGCCTTCTACAAAGACAACTGAAGAACCTCCTGCAGAAGTTCAACCAGCTGCTTCAGCAACTCAATGCGGTACACAACATAGTGTACTATATAGAGACACTGACAGTTTGACAGCAATAGTTAATGTTTATTGTATTTTGCAGAGAATCGGGGAATGCTGGACAGACGTGGAGGAAACCAGGCAGGTGATGCAACTGTTGAACTTCAATGCTACCAAATTATCCCCAGATATGAGGATCCACTTCAGTACTGCCAGTGTTAGGGAAGCTAGTTTTAAATGGTCGCTTTTCAAGCGACCAGTTATTTATCATTAAATGTACCTAAAGAGTACCGGCAGGCAGCATAGCAGGTTGGACTGATGCCAGCTTTGTCAATAGTTCTCCACAGTTGCATGTATTGTAATAGTGTGGCAATGTCAAGTATGGTCTTAATGTTAATCGTTTGTACTCTCTCTCTCTCTCTCTCTCTCTCTGCTGAACTTCGTGCTGGGTCAGGCTAAGATGAGTATCTGGCTGTCCTGGAGGAACAGAATGAAGGGGGCATGATCGACGAATCCTACCCTCATGATGAAGGGCTTGGTGGCAGCCCGCATAAAAATTGACCATGCTTTTTTCGGGGTGACTCACAACCTTGTGACTTTTTCTGAGGTGTGGGGTTATGGTGGGGTTCTATGTCACTTGACCCATGATGGGGACTTAATCTTGAAGTTTTAATATTGCCTTGAAGTTGTCGATTATTTCCTTGGCCCGCCGTATGGTTTTTTTTGTTTGTTGCCCTGGTAATTTTCTCTTGGTTTTTTTTTTGTGGTTGATTGTTTACTTTGTTTTCCGTTTGTCTGATTTTGTGATAACGACCCATCCTGCGATTTGAAGTTGCAGTAGGGTTTTTTTCTGTTGTTGACTGACTTAATAAAGGCTGGTGCAAAGTCTCTCTCTCTCTCTCTCTCACTGTCACACAAGCACTTTTCTTTATCAGTTACACAAGCAAAACTCTTGGACCAGGGTTTGAGTCTCCACCATGGCCCCATGTGTGTGGAATTTGTTTGTTCTCCCCGTTGGCATGGGGTTTCCTCCAGGTACTCCTGTTTCCCCTCACAAGTCCAAAAACACGCTGTGGTTAACTGGAGTCAGCAAACTGCGGGAGTCTGCCCTGTGATGGGATGGTGCCCCATCCTGGATTGTTCCCTGCCTTGCACCCACAGGCTCTGGACCCTCTGCAGCCCTGAACAGGATAAGTAGTTACTGAAACTGGATGGACTTTAATGATTTTATTCATTATTTTAAAACCAAGATACCCAGAACTGAAAAACGGGCATAGCAAAAATGTCAATTTATGGATATCATAGCAAATTTCAAACTCTATAAAGCATAGGATCCACATAATGTTTGTGTAATATTACAATATGATTTCCTTTAAGAGGTAAAATACAGTATTTTTGTAATAGAATGACTAATGTGCAGTGTGCGCTTATTTACACATGGTGTCGCGGTTTGACGCCGAAATACAGGTACACCCGAATATGTTATCAGAGATGAGACCAGAGCCACGCCGGAGTGTGCTACAACCAATAGAGTCTGGCTGCCTCGTGACCGCCCTGGCGCAGCTAATGCCGGCTGCAGATCACCTGACTTTGGCACGCGGAAGCGTGAAGTCTGAGCCGTCAACTGCGTCCACAACGCGACCGGCAGCAGCACAGCCACCTCACTGCGACGCACGGCAATGGCCGTCCTGGCCGGATCTCAGGTTAGTGTCTGAATCTCAGCATTTGACTTTCTTATTTGTGATTTCTACTCCGGGTGAGGGTTAACGCACAGCCACCCTGGACGTTAACCCGTTTCGGTCACGTGACTCAGCGATGTGTTCCGGATACTTTCGGATATAGGTCCAAGAGTGGTACGAAGTTGCTGTACTGATTATGTTTTCCATAGCTGTAGTTTCTTGTTTTTGCTCGTGCCACACTGTAAACAGCTCTAGTTTTATTAGGGACATTCAGATAGTTTTGTGTCCATCGTGTCCTCTCTCAAGTACTTATAGTGTACTCAGATTAATTAACCGCATGCTTCTAACTTAAGGAGGGGGTGTTTTTGTCTCGGTCCCCGAAAAGATTTGTCCCGTATTATAATTTGTATACATGAAAGATGTACGTGTGTTTTTGTGAAACTGATTCTCCTTATGTTTTATTTCAAGATTTCTTACATTGGACAAGACATTGAAGAAATCCCAGCCTCTCTTGGAGAACAGTATGGTGGGCTTGCCAGGCGTTTGGATGTCAGCTTCAATCAGCTGAAGTAAGCCAATGTTTTGTTAAGAAATTAAGTAAATATTTCTTGGCCTTGCATGGCTTCCATACACACTGTGGCTCAGGTTGCTCTTTCAGATCCTGTGGTCAACAGGCTGATTTAGTTTTATCACTGGGGCCTTGAGCAAGTCTCATAACTACATGGACAGACTGACCCTGCTTGCTCAAAAATATTTGTCACTTTGGACAAAAGCATCTATTGATGCTAAATAAATGGCTGTCCTATATCATAATAACATAATAAATTCTACTGAATGCCAGCACATTGTCACTGTTTAACTGCTAATTTGACATAGACTGGTAAAGGAGATGATAGCAGGGTCATTGCTGTGTTCCTGTTGCCCCAGACACAGTCAAACCATGACTTTTCACAGTACTTAGTGTTTTCCATTGATAAATGTGTGGTGTGTTATGTAGAAACGAACTGTGACACCAAGTATCATTTTCTCTTTGCAAAGGAGAAGCTGCTCCTGCAGAAATGTGCCACTCATGCTCTGTGTTTGGGATAGGGTGACCAGATAATCCATGTCAGGGAGGACATTCTGAGCTAGGACAGGAATTGTAAATTACCATTTCAATTAAAAGGACCTGGATTTCACTTGAGCACTGAGTTCTTGCTGTGTGCTGATTGGTCAGTCTCCTATAATCATGCATGTGTCACTAATGCTAATGTGAAACAGCTGGATGAGTCTTTCAGTCAAGGAAACAAACCAGTCAAAGCACAAGAAGAGCTGAACTATTTAGCCAAGCACAGGAGCCTTTCAATTTGAAAGTAGTTTGTAAAACCCGAAGTAGCTCAAAGTGTCCTCCCTGACATGGATTATCTGGTCACCCTAGTTTGGGAACAGTCCTGTTTAAGCAATTACAATTACCCAGCCAAGAGCCTTCCTTCCAGAGCATGCTGGTATGATTCCAGCTGTGTCCATTGCTCTGCAGGCAAAGTTAGAAAGGATCTGTCGAGATTTAGGACATGGAAAATGAAATGTGATGCTTGCCCGATAAAGTAATCAAGTGTTTTGTCACTTAAATCTTCTTTGATTGACCTTTCACCAGCAGCTTGTTTGATTCACCTTTCACCAGCAGATTCAGGTTTATTTGCAGTTATGAGACAAGAGGCCATCTTTAACTTGATATCAGTTGAAACAAGATCAGAAAGCAGGGCATGAGGTGCAAGTACCAGAGATGGCATCCATAGGTAGTAATTCCAGTGTCTGCAATAATGTTTGAAGTTTTGCAGTAATCAGGATTTGAACAAGAAATAGATCACTGCTGATTTATATAGAACCAAGCAGTGGCTTTATTTAGTCTTGTCGGCCTATTTCATACAATCTTTGTAAAATGTAGTACTGACTGATTTGAATTATTATGCTGATACCAATATAACAAATGTTCCACTGATTTGCAACAAAGGTGCTGCACATTTTCACTCTTTCGATTAACGAAAAAGACAATCAACCCAAATCAAAATGGCTATCCTTTAATAAAAGTAAGGTTTGTTTGTGGGTATTGCTTCTCGGCCTTTTGGCTAAGATCAAGTGTAGTATCTGTTCTGATCAGTTTAATATCTGGTTTAATATTCTTTGGCCATACAAAAATAAGTAGCACTTGTTCAAATTTGAAGTTTAATACTGAATTTATAAATAAACTGCAATTTTCGGGCTTTTCAGCAAGCTCACCTGTTTTGAGGCAGCACTAAATGTGATTCAAGCATGACTATATTTTACATTAAAATCTTTATACCACGGGTAACAAAAAAGTACAAAAACAATTTTTTAACTTTTATTTTTTGCCTATGCATTGTGAACCACCCTAGTGTGTAGAGAATATGTACTTTATCCCAGTTCACAAACAGGCGCTGAGCCTTCCAAAAAACAGCTTTATCTGTAATTATGTAAGTCACATTCCCTGAACACATGGACAGCTACTGTATATAGTTGTAGGACCATCTGAAGATGCATGTTTTGGGTTTGGTGGACATCCAGAAGGCATGGAGAGCCTGAAGCTCTTGTCATAGTGCTCTTTTGGAGATCATTGTGAGAAGAACATTAGAATGGAATGAATAAGTATTAAAGCTGTATAAGTGCAGCACCAAAGGCAGAGAGCATAAGCTGCTGGCCTTACTCTCTGTCATTAACTGCAGCTCTTTACCCTTTTTGCATTGTGAAGGATTCCATGTATCATGAGTGAACTGGCAATGTGTTTTCCTTCAATAATTTGTAGCTGTACATCCCCCAACAGGCTCTAATTCAAAAATCTCTGCTTTCGCAATATTATAGTGTTGCGTGTGGTAGAGAAATCATGTGTGAGCAGCATGTTGTTTGCCTCCTGCTGCTCCTCAGGCTTTGGGTCACATGTCATAGAAGGTCCAGCTGATGCCCCGTGAAGCCCTATGTAGAGGGAAGCACGGGAGAGGAGACCTCTGATGGCTGCGTCACTGCCCATTTCCTGTTTGGAGCCGCATTGGAATTGAATCCTGTCAAGGCACACGCCTTCTCAGAGGGCATCATGGGAAATGTAGTCATAGGATGTCACACACTGTGATTATTGGACAGCTTCTGTGAACCTCCTGCTTCCAAGCTAGGGAATATCTGCTGATTCAGAAGCATACTTATGAACTTCACTGCTAAAGCCACCTTTTAGTTGCCTGTTGCTTTACTGGCCAGGCTTTGTGTGCTGCCTGTTGCTACACCAAGGCAGAGGGGCAGTGAAACTGCTGATCTGGGTGTCATTTCACTAGGGTTGCACGGTAAACTGATGCTGAGGAAAAACAATGGTACTAGAATCTTGAAAACTGTATAATGCCAGCATTTTGAAAAAAAATCATTACATGTATTATGCAAATGACTATTTGATCTGGTTAAAAGAAATCGGTCTCTTTAAGGTCAATGCTGACAGTGGTGACATTGCATTAGCGGGAAGGGTGACATTGAGGGGAAACAACCAAGAGAATGACTAAGAGAGTGGAACACTTTTTTACTTGGTTCAGAGAAGCGATGGGAGCGGCTTCAGCTGAACTCATTGACAAGTGGGGCCTGAAGTGAAATATGGAGATGTGGATGAAAAAACGATCCCCTAAACATAATGACACTGCTGTGTCAAACCTGACCAGACATCTGTCACACAGATATCTTGGCCTTTTCAAGGAATTTAAAGACCGACAGGTGATAATTCAGTAGTTCACTTCCTCTTACGCCCATGAAAGCAATCAGTGATCGAAAAGCCTTTATGCAACGGTAATATTAATATTCATACATTGCACAGTGTTGATAACTGGTCTGGTACTCAAAGCCTTTTCATCCTTTGCCTTTCTAAGGTTGCTCAGATTGAGTAGCCTCTCAGTGGCATGCCCTCCTCCACCTCCTCTTCACCTCCTCCTCCTCTGCCTTTTCTTTTTTCTCTGCCTTCATTCCTGTGGAAAATGGCTTTTTGGTGGCAGTGTGGCTCAGTGGGTACTGATTCTCATGCTTCTGGTAGGTACACTCATAAATCACATTCTAAGGAATGTGAAACACTGGCAGGTTGGTTGGCATTCATTCCATTGCACTATTCTTTTGTCTGGTCAGTATGTATCAGAGTGCTTTCTGCATGTACGCATGTAGCGTCATGTGCTGGTGTCTGTGTGCACTAGCAGGCTGTATCTCTCGCTCTCACATCACCACAGGTCGCTGGCAGGGCTGAAGGCGTTTGGGCAGCTGGAAGAGCTCGTCGCAGATAACAATCTCCTGGGAAGTGACCTGAGGCTGCCCCATTTACCCTGTCTCCGCACCCTCACACTCAATAAGAACCAGATATCCTTTCAAAAGGATCTTTTATTTATTTAGATTTCAGGACAATGAATCAGGCTTCCAAAGCAAAGCTAAACTTTCTGTTCCTTGTGTCAGTTTAAAAAATGGTTGTTTTTTTCTTTATCCTGTATGTACCAGCAGTGTCCTCTAGTGGATGCTGGGTATAAAAAAAATGCCATGACAAAGTATTGCCCAATCCGACTGTGTTGAGACACCCAAGGTTCTTGCAGATGTTCAGTGTTCTCCATCTTCGAGTCACGGAGTAGATCCATTGCTTGTGTGGCTTATTATTGATATATGTAGCCAGGTATTTAAAGCAGCTGGCAATCTGCTACCTGGCTATGAGGGGGGCTGGTTAGCTCTGTCAGATTATTCTGTCCTGTACACAATGGAACAAACATAGATGTACCTGGAGAGTTCACATTTGGCTTCAGATTGGAGGGCTGATGTCATTCAGCTGCAGTTCAGGAGCCATTGTTCATAGAGATGCTCGAGCTGGTATGTGAATCCACCTGTCCAGTGAATGATGCTGGAAGTGGGGACTGGATGGCATTAAAATCACAGCTTTGAGATGAGTCCTCCTTAATGCTCATGTCACATCACAGACGTTGCCGCCCTGGTGGAGCACCTGCATAAAGCAACACCTTCGCTGGAGTACCTGAGTTTGCTGGGCAATCAGGCATGTCCAAACCAGCTGGTGAGCCTGGAGAACAATGAGGAGGATTACCAGCGCTATAGGTGAGCTTGATCGGCGAGGCTACGCCTGGACGGAGGACCTGTGAGAATGGGATCTGTGACCTCTGGTGCCTGGCAGGTATTTTGTGCTCCACAAACTGAACAAGCTGAAGTTCCTGGACAGCAGGCAGGTGGGTGAGCATGAGCGGGCAGAGGCAGAGACACGAGGGGCTTTCATGAAGGTGGTGAAGCCCACGGCTGAGGCGGTGAGGACCCTGCGGCCGGGGGGGGGGGTCAGACTGGTGGAAAAGCCTCAAAACACAGAGGGAAGAAGTGAAGAGACAATGTTCTTATAAATAGAACTGTGGAGGCCTGCACTCTAATCCTGCACCATGTTTGTGTGTCCTGACCAGGACTGTGATAATGCCAAGAATGAACCTGTGAGCCAGCTATATACTCCACTGCCTACAGGCTCACAAGACAACAAAGGCCACAAAGGTGGGTGAGTGTGGCAAGCAGAGCACAGCCTGCCTGTGAACTTCTGGCTGTGTAGAACTGATCATGTGCGGTTATATGTTGCAGGGGTGTTTGCCAAGTGCCGCTACGCTTATTATGGAAAGCAGTCTGAGGGCAACCGGTTCATCTCCAATGACCAGCTGTGAATTAGAAAGTGATGGTTCAGTGACTTAACATTTTTCACACATCTACAAATAATTTTTATTTTGTATTTATTGTCTTTCCAGGTTAGGCAGCCCAGCTAATAATAGAATAAATCCATATTCCCACAACCTCAGTGTTTTGTCCCCATTTTTTTCCTGCGTGGTATGAGTGTGGCCACATCTTTCCCAGCAATATAAAGCCTCTTGTGACAGTCTTGATCTGCTCCATCTATGCCCTGTGCCATATGCAGGACTACATAGGAGGCAAGAAGGAGACCTCAGCGATGTGCTCCTCCAGCATGGATACGGTCGGGCGGATTGGTAGGCAGGACAGCCAGGGCAGCTGCACATGGGCTCGGGCTCCCACAGTGAGGTCAAGGGCCCCCCTTCAACTGCAAATCTTCCATGTATGTGAAACATTCATGAGGATTAAAGTACTAATGTCATGGATATTATACGGATTTGTTACATGCTGCTTTTATATCCCAATTTTATATATACAGTCTTATTATGGTGGGAGTCATAACACAAAATATATTTGGTACAATACTTAAAACAATTTTGAAATATAATAGTTTAATATTTTGAAGTTAAGCTACGTTGTGGAGGCATGTATTTAACAAAAAAGCATGTTTGTGGAATTCCCTAACTACTGCAGTGCATGATGGGTACGATATTTGGAGGCTACTTAAATTAAATCATCTGCAACTGGCGTAAGCAGGCCCTAGGTCTAAATTTAGAAAGGGGCTGCCCTATGGTCCTTTTTTGCCCTAGGGCCCAGTGTTCAGTTGTTCCACCCTTGGGTATGGTGCCTCTTATGGAGATGGAGGGGTACCTCCTCTTCTCCCTGAGAGTTTACAAGCACTAGGGTGCACTAGTGTAGTATAACCTTATGGTTATACCCTTGCTTTCCCCCATGGGATGAAATCTGATTTTCTGCGGAGCAGTCTGATGTCTGTGGAAGTGGGGGCATGGTCAGAAATGACTATACTACGATACTCACAGAAGCTAACAAGCTGTAAATGTTATTTAACAGAAAGAAGTCAGTCCATGATTGTATGTATGATGAACATAAGAGAAGAAAGAGAATGCTTTGCTCATGAGAAATTTTGATATGCGTAGGTGGAGCCTGAATGCTTAATGTATGTCTGTAAGATTTTTGCAGAGTTACACAGGGCTAGTGATCTAGGTGGTGGCCTATCAATCACACAGGGGCACAGACTCGGCAACATGAACATGGCATGTCTGCTAAACTTACACAGATGGTGTGAAAGAACTAGCTAGACAGCTAATTAGCTGACTCGAGTGGGGTCTCATGCTGCAACAAACAAATTAACTCTGATAATGCTGGACATGTCTTAGCACTCAAAAGTGTTAAAAAATTAAACCAGACACTATAAAGGAATCATTAAGCCTTTATTATTAAACCAAAAGCAATGCCGATAAGTGATAACTTGCTTTTGCTCACTTTACACAGAACAGCAACTCGTCCTACCATAAATAAAGGACTACGGGGAATTGGTGCAATGAGATGTTAAGTACTTCATACTTCAATTTTCTGCACCTGCTTCTGTTT